TCCCAGCATTCCCAGTATGCCGATGTCGCTGTCCCAGGTGCTGGTGTTCGTGCACTCGCGGAAGGAGACGGGGAAGACGGCGCGGGCCATGCGGGACCTGTGCCTGGAGAAAGACACGCTGGGGCTGTTCCTGAGAGAGGGATCCGCCTCCACTGAGGTGCTCAGGACTGAGGCCGAGCAGTGCAAGGTGACCACTGGGGAGATTACTGGGGACACTGGGATAACTGGGATAACTGGGGACACTGGGGACACTGGGGAGATAACTGGGGTCACTGGGGACACTGGGATAACTAACTGGGGACACTGGGATAACTGGGGACACTGGGGAGGGCTTGGCCTCCACTGAGGTGCTCAGGACAGAGGCCGAGCAGTGCAAGGTGGGACAGACTGGGATGACTGGGAACACTGGGGACTCTGGGATAATCCTCGTGGGGAAACTGGGATAATCCTCATGGGGAAAGGAATTTCCTGTCCTTCCAGGCAAAATTGGGATAATCCTGATGGGAAAACTGGCAAAACTGGGATAATCCTCATGGGGAAACTGGAAATCCCTGGAATTCTCTGGGATGTTTTCCCTGGAATTCTTTGGGATGTGTTTTTTTTCCTGGGATTATTTGTAATTTGTTTTTTCTGGAATTCTTTGTGATGTTTTCCCCGGAATTCTCTGGGATGTGTTTCCCTGGAATTCTTTGGGATGTGTTTTTTTTCCTGGAATTCTCTGGGATGTTTTCCCTGGAATTCTCTGGGAGGTGTTTTCCTGGGATTATTTGACATGTGTTTTTCGTGGAATTCTCTGGGATCTGTTTTTTTCCCTGGAATTCTCTGGGAGGTGTTTTTTTCCTGGGATTATTTGGGATGTGATTTCCCTGGAATTCTTTGGGATGTGTTTTTTTCCCCTGGGATTCTCTGGGATGTTTTTCCTGGAACTCTTTGGGATGTTTTTGCTGGAATTCTCTGGGATGTGGTTTTTTTTCCTGGAATTCTCTGGGATGTTTACTCTGGGATGTGTTTTCCTGGGATTCTCTGGGGTGTGTTTTCCTGGGATTATTTGACGTGTTTTCCCTGGAATTCCCCCCAGAACCTGGAGCTGAAGGATCTCCTGCCCTACGGCTTCGCCATCCACCACGCGGGGATGACGCGCGTGGACCGGACGCTGGTGGAGGATCTGTTCGCTGACAAACACATCCAGGTGGGAGCAGAATTCCAGGGAATTCCAGCACAAAACCCCGGCTCTGGGCTGGGAGAAAACAGGGAGTGTCCTGGAGGGAAGTGGGGTGGACGTGGGAGATGAAAGAGGAATTTTGGGGGGTTTTTTAAAGGCTGGGATTGTGTGGGATGGGAAGGCGGGGGAAGGGAGTTGGGAGCCGGGAAAAGCAGATTTCCTGGGAAATGTGGAATGAGGAAAAGCAGATTTCCTGGGAAATGTGGAATGAGAAGGAAAGATTTTCCTGGGAAATTTGGAATGAGGGAAAGAAGATTTCCTGGAAAATGTGGAATGAGGAAAAGCAGATTTCCTGGGAAATTTGGAATGAGGGAAAGCAGATTTCCCGGGAAATTTGGAATGAGAAAAAAAGATTTTCTGGGAAATTTGGAATGAGGGAAAGTAACTTTATTGGGAAATTTGGAATAAGAAAAAAAGATTTTCTGGGAAATTTGGAATTAAGGAAAGCAGATTTCCTGGGAAATTT